GTTTGGAATTGATAGTAGTGACCCGACACCAAATCTTTGAACTCTGTTCTTGTTAAGCCTCAAGTTTTGGGAAACAGCAGAACCAGGAAACAAGTCAGTCCCCGCAGCCAAATGTGATGCTGCGTCCACAGATTCCTTCCGTGGAGTGAACTGGAGAGAGGGGTAGGGAAGACAGTGAATGAGTAAACTACAGTACTCAGACATGCGAGGATGGTTTTTGTTGTTGTTTTTGTTTTTTTTTTTCCAGTACCGGGAATCGAACTCACGACCTCACGCTTGCCAGGCGAGCGCTGTGCCGCTGAGCTAAATCCCCAGCCCCCAGACGTGCTAGTATGTTGAAAAAGAGAAAAAAGACAGTGTGATTGAGTGTCAGGAGTGAGGAGGATGAGGGAAGGAAAGGGGGTGTATTTATATTTTAAATCGAAAGGCTAGGAGAAGCCTTTCTACCTTCTTGAAAGCTCAGTATTTTTTCAGACTTCCAACTTTTTTTGTTGCTCAGACGTGAACAGGTGTCCTTTGACAAAGGCATAGTAACGCTGAGGGACGCGCTGTTCCCGTGAATAATCCCGCGCGAACGGGTAATACTAGTTGCGATATTTGCTTACTGTTTGTATAGGTCGGCTCCTGCTTAAAAGAAGTCCATGGGACAGCTGTACATTTGTGTGGCACCATTTTCCTTTAAAGGTCATTCTCATTTCTGAAGAGTTAGAGGAAGAGAAGACAGAGGTCTTCTTCGAAATAGGTGGATCAGCGCTGTTTGGGCAATCGGCTGATGTAGAAAACGCAGAAGGGAGAGAGGCTTACACTGCAGCGGGGGTCAGGCGCTGTGCTGATGTCACTCACCCCTCCGTAATCACGTGCCCTGAACAGTCTTCATTTTAAATGAGAAAATCGAACCACACAGACGGACGGAGTCAGCGCCCTCTCTCAGTAAGCTAAGTGTTTAGTTGGGGAAGTTAAACGAACTTAACATAAATTTTAAAACCGTCCTAAAATAACAATGAAATAAATACGTTTCTTATACTTTACTACAAAGCACATCTAAGTTATGGCATCAATAGATTTTTTTTCAGTGCTAGAGATCCAAGCTCAAGCCTTGAGCATCCTCAGCAAGCACTCTGCCATCGAGCTATAGCCTGATATCAAGAGATTTTGATAACGCTATCAAGTATATATTATTATTTCCATTATAAAGATAAAAGTATTTCAGAATGAAGTTATCAGACTCACGGTTACACAGCTAATTGATAGGAGAAAGAAGGTTTGTGTTCATTGCCTGTTTATTATAAACTCTGACTTTTTAGTTACAGATGACATCTATGTCTGGTTTTGAAGTAAATCACCAGGATCTGGGAGAGACTGACAGTGTTATTTTCATTATAGTGGATTAGAGGAGCGTCGGGTGAAGAAGTAGCAGAATGCAGTTAGTTGTGGCTGTCACAGAAAGATTGCCTAGGCTATGGTCAGGAAGAGTTGAAGTGGGTTTGCAAATTGAGTAGACTGGGTAAGAGAACAGAGTATTGCAGGTTGTGAGAACTCTAACGAAACAATTAGAGAAAAGTTTGAGAAGCGGGGGCTGGGGATTTAGCTCAGCGGCAAAAGCACCTGCCTGGCAAGTGCAAGGTCGTGAGTTCGGTTCCTGGTACTGGAGAAAAACCAAAAACCAGCCTAGACTACAGAGTGAGCTCAACGCCAGCCTGAACTGCATAGAGAGACCGTGAAAAACCAAAAACAAAAAAAAAAAAAAAAAAAAAGAGAAGCGGACTTATTTTATCATGCATAGTGACTCTATCACGTGCAGACAGGCCTCTCTAGATTTTTCTTTTACTTTTCTAAATATTTAGATTTTCTCTGAATTAGTGATCTGTTCAAGTGCTTTTGCAAGCTCAGCGTGCACCTAGCCAAATGCACCTGTCGGTTTCTCCGCCTGGACACCGTACACTGTGGGGGCAGAGGCCCTGCCTGCTCTTATTGGCTGTCCTGGGCACAGCACTTGACATAAGCTAATTGCTCAGTAAGTTCATTGGATAAGTTGAATGAGAAATGGAAACTAAATTCAACAAAAAGTTAGATTCCAACTGTGTGTACCTAAGTATTAGTTGAGTTTAAAGACTAAAGGGGAAGGAATGAGGCATGTTCAGGAGTTTCTAAGTTGCACTATTCAGAGGCTGTTATACACCCACTAAGAGAGCAAATACGCAAGGAAGAGAAGGGAACTCACCTGTGGCAGATGACAGCTTGGACCTGGGCATGCTGAAGTTGGGCATCATTATGGTACCCAAGCAGGAGTGTCCAGGGGGAAATTGAGGATGTAGTAGTTGACCGTACAATTCATTGGTACTTTTGTAGACAGCAAAGTGCGTTTCTATTTTTGGCTTACCTCACTAGACCCATGGTTGGTTTGTGTGTGTTACTGTCAAACTTCTGCTCTTCCCTGGCAAGTTGTTGATATCAGTACCTTCTGTGGTCTTGTTATTAATATCTCCCAGTAGCACAGATCTCTTCCCCCATGGTCCTTGCTGCTTTCTGTAGCAGTTCTGCAAGTCCCCTTTTCTAAGTGTCTTTTGTGGCTGCCTCAGTGCCCTGAATGGATTCTAAATATTGACCCTTCATGGTCACTTTCACTTTGGGGAAGAGTCAGAAGTTGCACAGGGCTAGATCCAGTGCATACGGTGGATGATGACTCGCAGCTGTGTGTTTTGGAGCCTGCCTTTCTGTAGATGGCCCTGGGCAGCAGCATTCATCATAGTTTTGAGCACATCTTTTAAAGACACACATGGGGGCTGGGGATTTAGCTCAGCGGCAAAGCACTTGCCTGGCAAGCGCAAGGTCGTGAGTTCGATTCCTGGTACCGGAAAAAAACAAAAAAAACAAAAAAATAAAATAAAGACACACATGAAAGAGGACTTCTGGAACTGCTTCAGAAATTTTCAAGGATGGTGGGATAAGTATATCTGAAACAGGTAAGGATTTTGAAGGGGCTTGGTTTTAATGTGTCATTGACTGCAATAACTTTTGAAAAAATATATGCATTCTCTAAATAGTTTGACCACACCACATACACACAATGACAAAAGGAAGATGGGAAACGTGCAGCTCTCCCTCTGACATCTTTGGTGTGGGAGAAAGGTTACATTCTGTGTGCTATGGCCGGTCCTTGCAGTCTTCACAAAACCCGCCAGGGTGTTTTGTGAATAGTAGCTACTTAAGCAGAATTTGTTTGAAAAATAAGGATGTATTTGAAATAGGTTTATTATGGCTCCTCCAGATGCAACATGCGGCTTTGGACACTGGGTCCTTCCTTTCTCGTGAGGTATCCTTACTTGTACCCCTTCCGCCATATTGTTTATCATGGGGCTTTATGGATTTTTATTAGAAGAGCATCCTCCCAAGGTACTGTACTCTTAGACCCCACTGTCCCTATGGCACAGGTGTGGCTGCCTTTGGTTCACAAGATCAGTAAAATAATCCACAGAGCAGAACCAAATACACTGCTGCAATCAAAATGAAGACCTCGACAGACGTTAGACAAGTTCTGTGACTGCAAATAAATTCTAGTTTTTATTATATTTTCATCTCTAAAGGCCAAGGAAAAAATTTTTAAGACTTGCTTATGCAATCAGTCTTCAGTAGTTTGTACTCAACCGCCTGACTACTACATGAGTGTTACTTTGTTATTCAAGTTTTAAATGTTAGAAAATTTTCAACTATGAAGATATCAATATGTAATACAACCACCATTGTTAATTCCCTACCACTTTGTTTGTAACTCTGTATTGTCTGTATTGTGCTTGTGATATGTTGTAAAATGTTGTATGTCTGTTAATGTTTCCCTCCCTTTATCCTTAAAAAAAAAAAAAAAAATTCATATGGAACCACAAAAAAAAAAAGAAAAAAAAGAAAATTTTCAACTAAACACTAACATAGAAGTACCCTGTGCCCACTTCTTAAGATGCATACATTGAGAAGCACATGTTTAAAGTGTTTCTTCAACTCTGAGTAGAAAATCAGCTATTGAAAATTTTGGCTAAATGTTGGCTAATCTTGGCTTTTAATTAAAACATGCAAGTTTAGATTTAGGCTCCATATTTCACTCAGGTATTTATTAGTTTTCTTTTTTTTCTGCACATACAACAAATAGTGTGCTTTTGCCTGAGATATTTCTTTAGTTAATGCAACCATTTTTTATTCCTCTGCACATTTTCTGAAATATTTCACATGTTGTATGTAGATGCTTTCCTGAGGAAGAAGTCTTACAAAACTCTTACCTTTTATTTTTAAAAGTTATTCTTTCTTTCTTGCTTCCACCCAAAATATTTCACCAGAAAAGTTGGCTTTGGTTTCCAAGTAGATCCGAATGGATGTAAATTTTGATCTGGTCACTTTCTATCTCTGAGGCCTTAACCACGCTGCTTACACTCCCTAATCCTGTTTCCGCTGCCTAAATTGTGGACTCTGTACGAAAGGAGGTAAGCTGTCCTCAGCTTCGGTGTTCTCTCCGCAGTCACGTCCGCTCAGTAAGTGTGAGCAGTTAGTTCTCTTTTCTGTGGCAGAAGTCCTGTTTTCAGTAGCAGTAAGTCAATGTTTAATGTTAGACTTTCAAAAAATGAATGTTTTGGAATGATTTGGTAAGTTTAACTGTTCCATGTGTTTGGTAGACTTGGAAAAAATAAACCTGCTTTCTATTTAACAATCATATGTCAAAGCAAATTAGATTCACCTGTACAGAAGGAGTGCTTGCTGTATTCAGACAGCTGATAATGCTTTCTAAAGTATCATGAATTTCAATCATACATCGAAATGGATGAGCATATTCTATAAATTACTTTAAAGTAATTACTCTAAAGTAATTTTTAGAGTAATATCCTGCAAAACAATGTAAAATGTTGAATTGATTTAGCATTCTGGGAGAATGAGTTCGTAGCATTACAGGAATAGTCTTCTTAGCTCCCTCGTTATTCGTACTCTAGTAACTAAAATGATGCATTTTTGGTTTTCAGTAACCCAAGACTGCTTGCAGCTGATTGCAGACAGTGACACGCCGACTATAAGAAAAGGTAATGAAATCGCTCCAGTGCTTTTCAACTCCAGATTCAGTCCACAGCATCTTAGACTTGCAAGTAGGAGGTCTGCAGGGTGTACTGGAACTGCCTCTCAGATCAGGCATCTGCCTCAAAACTTCTTGGTATCAGATGCAGTAAAACAAAATGTGTTCAAAACGTCTGGGTAATAAACATTGAAACTAGCATCCTAATCTAACCAACAGAATTACCTTAGAGGAACTGATATTTAGAAGGTGTAAATAATTACATTTCAATAAAACTAAATTAAATCAAATACTAAATCAAATTTAAGTTATGTAGAAATCATTTTGGCTTCAACAATGATGTAAGAGTCTCTTCACAAATCTCAATTCTCTTATGTTTTGTTGTAGAAATCATAATGGGATGAAAATAAAACTGAATATAGCCTATAAACTATATTTTTATGACAATTCTCCAATGTCAAATTAATGCATGATAATTTATCATTTTCTCATAGCCACACAGTGTATTAAACTGTTTTCATTGTGTGAAGTTTTTGTTAGCTTTAACTCTAGACAACTTCTTTCTATAATAGTAGCCAGAAATAATGTTCACAGAGAATAACCTTTAAATGCCATTTCCAAAAAAGTATCACCCAGAATATTAAGTCAGAGAAATGGCCCAGGAAATAAGTGTTTCATTGTCAAATAAGTTTGGAAACATAGCATCCTGTATATTTTCTTGAGAGTCACAAGGCACTTGAACAAATTATTGAATCTGAGACGAGTTACCATGAAAAAAATTTTTTCTTTACTTTTTTTTAAATCCAATTTTTCACAAATTCATGTGACCCTGCCACTGTCACCTGTACCAACACCTCCTTGAAAGCAAACTATTTGGGGAATTGCTGTAGTACAGCTGCTTCTGTTTAGAGAAAATGATAAATGAACAAAACTGTATTAGAAAAGAGCAGTTCATTCTTTCACTGTGGTAGATTTGCTCATTTTCTGAGTGCTGGCAAGGAACATAAGACCATCCAGCGCCTGGAGGGTAACCAGGGTGACGGCAGGGTGTGAGCTTGTGTTTTTGAGGGAGCTTGCCTCCTGATCAAGAGAAAAAGGGGAAAACCCTACCAATGAACAAGTAAAATGTAAAATGATGAAGTGAATGCTGTGGGGGAAATCAAGCAGACAGGGCAGGGGGTTTCTGAGTTGTGACCCACAGTAGGAGCCCTGGATGATCAGGAAATGAACAAGGGGACCCGAAAAGGGGAGAGCTACTGTCGCTGGCGATGAATGTGGACTGTCCTTCCCGAAGAGCTCTCAGATGCTGCTCCGCATCTGTCTTTTTCTGTGTAACTTTGATTCCCGAAATAGCAAGCAAGAAACAAACTCTTTAAAAGCGTGTTATTGCTCTACATTTTCCAAAATTCTGTTTGCAACTTTTAAAACTATTTCCTAAGAATTAAAGTAGAGCCAGAAGAATACCCTAAGGACCCAAGATAAAATTTTTTTTTAAAACAATTACTTGGGAAGAAAGCTTTCTTTACAAATGCAAAGTAATGTAGCTGTTACTCCCAGGCTGAACGCGACTTGTACAGTGTGTTGTGACCCTCTTGGAGTGTTGAGTGTCGCCCACAGGTGCAGGTGTGCTGCCCTGGGGTGTGATCCCAGAGTGCTTGGGTCCCTTTCACACGTGAGCAGGCTGAGTGGTGCCAGCAAACCCCATGAACAATATTCATCTGTTAGTGTGCATGGACATTTTAGCAGGGAAACCAGGGTAGATGGCACGTTGTTAAGAAAGGTTGCACCCAGTGGAACATTTTCACATGCAAGGGTCCATCAGTCTTTGTAAGTGATAATGTATGGTCATCTTACTGCATTTCATATAATCCCAGTCCCGAGTATGTAGAACCTCAGTCCTGGGCTGAAATCATGTTCCCTGTTCCAGAGGCAGGGAAGCTCCAACAAGAGAACCTCTTTTCATCTGATATTTCGAGTCTCGTCTTTGTTGCTTTTGTTCAGGTGGTCTCCGGAAGGGAGGCTGCTCGAAGCAGAGGTAGGCAAGAGGGTTCTTGGCGTAGGCTCCCTCCCCTCCTGTTTCTGTCTTTGGAATGTTAATTGACTTTTTTTAAAAAGTAGCACATTCACCTGTTGGAAACAAATTTTCCAGCACAAGTGTGGACTGAGCACTCTTGCTCCCCTTCAAGTCTGTCCCTAACCCTCTCTGCCTCGTGACTTACCATTTTCATTGTTAGTCACTGCAGACTCTACTGCTCTGTTTTTATAAATACAGAGAATTTAGAATGCAGTTCTGATTTACTTCATTCTTTGTGTGTGTGTGTGTGTGTGTGTGTGTGTGTGTGTCTTTCTGAGACAGTCTTGCTATGCAGTTCAGGCTGGCCTTGAGCTCATTTTATAGCCCAGGCTGGTCTTGAACTTGCAAGGATTCTCCTGCCTCAGCCTCCTGAGCACTGGGATTACAGACATGTGCCGCCACCCCTGGCTGATTATATGTATCATACCTGCACTATATATTATATATATTACTGGAAACAAGTTTATAACCTGTTTGTCTTTAACTGGATATGTGTTAAGGTATTTTGATGTCTATAAATAGGAAGCTTACATGTGAACTCAGCATAGGATTCCATTGTATGAACATTATTCACTTAGTCAGTTTCTTACTGCTGGACTTGGTGACGATCTTTTGCAAGGGTGGCACGTCGGAGCAAAACCGCGTACGTTCATAACTCCGCACACGGCCCCTGTGTGCAGGCTGCATTTTCAGTTTGCGCAGCTGTCGCCAGGGCTTCCAGAAGGTGACTGAGAGCTGCGCTGGCGCAAGGCGGTATCTCTGAGTCTGCTTTCTTTTATCGCAAAATGTGTGGGTCACCTCTTTGCATGTTTTAAGAGCCATTTGTCTTTCTGTGCTCATGTTCTCGTGATTTGTACATTGTATTTCCTCTTCTCAGAGCTACCTGCTCATCTTCTTTGCGTTTTTCACTGGCTGCGGGCCGCCGTCAGCTGACTTCTGTGAGCGCTCTGTTTGTTACACACGTTGCTCCTTTATGTTATGAATCACAACCCCTTCGCATTACAGTGCCATTGCTTGGCTAATTTTGCGTAAGGGAAGGTTCTGTGTGTGTTTGGGTCAAATTTGTCAAGCTTTTGAAGGACTCTGGACTTTGAGTGTCAATTAGAAAGCCCTCCAACCATTCAAAGATATCCTTTCTTTCTGTGTTTCTTTCTTTCTTTCTTTCTTTCTTTCTTTCTTTCTTTCTTTCTTTCTTTCTTTCTTTCTCTTTCTTTCTTTCTTTTTCTTTCTTTCTTTCTTTCTTTCTTTCTCTTTCTTTCTTTCTTTCTTTCTTTCTTTCTTTCTTTCTTTCTTTCTTTCTTTCTTTCTTTCTTTCTTTCCTTCTTTCTTTCTTGGTCCTGGGAATCGAACTCAGGACTTTGTGCTTGTGAGGCAGGCAGTTGTGCCAGTGTACTTTATCCCCGGCCCAATACCCTTTATTGTTGTTGTTTATATGTAAGTATTTTCCTTATTTGCTACCTTTATTAGTAGAGGATGCGAGCTGTGCAGCTGACATACTATGTTCCCTTGGAGTGCGGTCAGTTGCACCGAAAATTTTTTAAAACATACCTTATCATTCCAAGGCCACTGGGGGATGTTAGCTTTAACTTATATTAAATTACTATATTGGAGCCAATTTGGTTTTTTTCAGGCTTTTCTATTATGTTCATTTATGTCTGTTTGAGGACCAAAAAAAATCCATTTTTATTATTAGGGTTTTATCTGATAAGTCCGTTTCCCTCCTCAGCTTGTACTTTAAAGTTTTTTTGTTTTTTACTTTTCCAGTGAGAACGGTGGACTCGCTAAGTAAAAAGAAAAAAATGCCTGCTTGTAAATTTATTTACTCTTTTATGCTTATAAATTAAAGTATAGAATATATGCTTATGCTAACAGATGTTCTAGTCAAATCCGATCACAGAACATAATATACATTTTATATTTTTCTGTCTTTCTTTCTTTCCTTCAGTATGTATTGATATTTTCTTAATTATGTCTTGCATATTTCTTGTTAATATTTTTGCAAAGTATTTATCCATTCAATTGCTCTTATATAGGGATACATTTTCTTTTCTTATATTTTCTAGCAGCTATTCTTTTTGTATATAAAGAGGTCTTGTTGATGTGTCTTTACTTAACAATGTGTGTGCAGATATTTCCATAGTGTGTCTTTTCTGCATTAAGGTTGAAATACTTTATTTCTTCATTTATAATTTCTTAGTATGCTTTTTCTCAAATTTCATTTTTAACCTTTCTGAAAGAAATTGTTTTACATGTACCCCATGTATACAGAATGAACTTGGCATTTACTTTTTAATCCCATCTTAATGTTTATGTATTGAGTGATATAATTTCTTTTACATTTACTTATTTCAGTAATCACTGGCTTTTACTTATCATATTGTGATATATTGCATATCCTCTTATACCTTAACAAAAGAATTTCTGCTTTGTAGTAAACAAAGAGTGCTTTGCTCTTTCTCTGTACAGAGCTCTGGTATTTATGTTTACAATTATAGCTTTTCATTAAGGTCCATTCACATAGTATAAAATCAAAGGGTACAAGTCACTGACATTTCACTCATTCACAGTATTTGGCAACCACCAACTTTTTTTGGTGTCACAACATTTTCAAGAGCCGGGTAGAAACCTCTAAACCCATCAAGCAGTTATGTAGCAGTTCTCCATCTCCCTCACCCCTGAGAACTACCAACATGCTTTCTACTTCCTTGGTCCACCTGTTCTGGATAATTCACACAAATGTCGTCATACAGTTTGTGACTTTCAGTGTCTGGCTGTTTTCGCCGAGTGTCATCCTTGGAGGTTCATCCACATCACAGCACACACACATTACTACTTCATTGCTCAGTACGGATGCAGAATATTCTATTGGATGTAACCTGTGACTTGACAATCCTTTTGTCTTGTTTCCACATTTCCACGTTTTGGTTGTTGTGCAT